CTTGGCGCTGGATGGATTCGAGGCCTTCCCACACAACCTCGATAAGGGTCTGTCTACCCAAACAAACGGGTTGTCCTACTAGAAACCAAACGAAAAGGAGTTTCCTCATACCCACATGGGTACCCTCAACACTGACAAACTCATGTCAGACCGACTGGCGCTGCTGTTTCCACCTTGACAGTATTGCCTCAGGGACCCGAATCAGTTCTAGTAGTCCTAATCAAATGAAGCTGGTTTGATCGCACCATGAATTGATTCCTTTAGCTTCGCAGGCTTGCAAAGTTGCATCGGCCAGCCTTCACCAAGAGTGCATCGCTGCATTCATCAATAGAAAAACATGCTGAGATTGCCTTGCTACTTGGTGAATTCACTTGATCACTTCCCGAAAAGGCGCGAAAGCTCCCCTGGCCTAAAATGAGGGAGCAAGGGATCCTTCATTGGTGAGGTCTCCCCAGCGAGTTGCCGGAAAGAATATGCAACAATGTCCCGAGTCTCCTGATAAGCAGAGATCCAGGTGCCAAGTACTCACGCCGCATGTTTGCCCGTTCCTGCGTTGACTAGCTGTGTGTGAGTGTTGAAACTCGTGGTTCTTGCCTTCAAACTTCTTCTATCCCCCGACCCGGATTTCCTTCGGCGCCTCTTTCTGCGCAAGCGGCTCTTAGGTCCAAGGAAAGGAGACGGCTGCCCCAGAACTCTGACGGCACACCCCGACCCAAGGCGGCCCTCACTCAAACTCGAAATCGATAACCAATGGCAGGTGATCGCTGGCGCTGGTGTGGTAGACACCCACATAGCTCACCCGCAACCTGGGCAAGGGAACAAACACGGCGTTGCTTTTTGTTCCATCAGAATGAAGCTGGTTTCATGAAAGTGCTTCGGTGTGTCATGGGAGCATGCTTGCTTTTCCATCCACCCGCCATTCGTTGGGCAACACGCACGCGTTTCTCAGGTCTGCTTGTATCCTACACTTGATGAAAGCGAGAGTTCACTGGCTCCCAGTCAGTATTAATTCCGACAATGCCAAAGGAACTTGAAATACGGTGACTCTGAGTCTGAAGGATGAAGACACGAAAGTCATAGGACGTTGCAAAACAAAATCGCGTGAGCGAAGCCGAGGGAAGGCACGGCGTGCAACAACACCAAGAATCCCCCAGCGCCAAGCGAGCCCTGGGAGCCCATGATCGCTCAGATTGAAATCACACCAAGTATCCCACAAGCAACCTGCTTCTCTCTCACACACACACGCACACGCACACGCGCGCGGTTTTCAGGCATTCGTGGCTTGCCCTTGGGGCCCGGCTTCGAGGAGCAGCGCCTCGATTCGGGCGCTGACTTAGTGCACAACATCTGACGCCTGAGTTCTGGGATAATCAATGGGACTGCATAACGAAATACGGATGTCCAAACCATCAACCGGCCTTCAAACAGCCTGGTTTGCACTACACCCAAACCACCCCCAGCGGCTTTGTGGGGCATATAGCCACCTTTTCTGGCCACCATTCAAAGCGTGTATATCTTGTTGTTTCTTCATGTCGCGGTTGAGAGGTGATGAAAAACGTCTAAAACTCGACAATCATGCTTGCTGTATTTCACTTGAGAGAACCCAGATTTTGAAGGGAAGCCTAAAGTCTAAAGGAAACCAAGAACTGCTTGAGTCAAAATTTGAGAACCCAGATACCTCAGGCAGCCACATCAGGCAGTGATCGATGAGTTGGCCGCTCCAATGGCCTCGATGTTTGCAGAGGACAAAAGGGGAACCATAAAGAAACCAAAAAAAAAGAGTAAGGGGTCGCTGATTTTCGGACAAACGCGTTGTGTTGCAACAATATGTCCCCTCCTCCAAAGAAAAAGTCTTCAAACAAATTACCCCCAACTCCAAGACGCTGTGTCTTTATCTCGCCCATTTCAGGGGTGTGCTCGACTCCAAGGTCCTTTCTTTGGCTAAGACCACTGGGTCTACGCCCAGGGATGACTTGACCACTGGAAGACTTCTGGCTTCTCCCGGTCAGGTGGCTGTAGAACGGCGCCACGGGCGGCTCCAACTCTTGCCAGGCATGCCTCGCAAGAGAAGGCAAGGACGACCCCCCAAAATCGATCACGATACCCCGGTCAGTTTGTTCGTTGCGCACAAGTGTCCCCTTTCCTCCTCCCAGGCATATTCGATGGGCATGGAAGCTCTCTTGGCCGTCAGGGAGCGGAAGAAAACACAGGATCGAGCCAACAACATCCCCGCAGCCAGGTGGAAGTGACAGAGGTGCTACTCTGATCTCATATGTGGTACTTAGGTCAGGCCGTGAAACGAATCTTGCAGCTGACTTCCTCATGTGCGTGCAGTCCTATTCCAGCGGCCGCAGGCTGTAAGATCAGCATGCCAGCAGACTGTGCCAGCAGACTGCATTTGTCTACAACGTCAAGTGACACACAGTGGAAAGAAGCTGGGAGGATCGATGTGACATGCGTAGCTAGCTGTTGCGGTAACACTGATGACAGGCGCAATAGTTGACAGCAATGAATGGGCCAAGCTGTAACCTCATTAAACTGCCGCTTGATATCGTCGAGAAACTGGTCGATCTCCTGGTCAATTTACTAGGGCTCAGAAACACATCATTTATCGAGCTAATTGACTTTGTGATTGTTCCATACGGAGATGCCAAGACACCGATTGAAAACATTGCACAGAGCAAGCTGAAGAACGAGCAGAAGAAGGTCAAGACATTGAAGTGGTCATTCTGGACATGCGGACATCGCTGTTAAAACATAAAATTCAAACTTGAGCCAACTTGGGGCGTGAGGATTGCAAGTGATGCAAGTGTCCTTTTTGATTTCCTCCAGTTGTGCAAAATGAAGAACCTTTGCAAGATCCTGCTTGTCTCCAGAAGCTAGTGATCAAGACCATCAACGGCCGGAAAAACAGAAAGAAACCAACACATACGTGCAAAGAAGTGAGCCACTGTCAAACTATACAGCTTTTCAAGGCCATGGACATTGGTGGGTTCGGGATTTTGGGAATGAACCTAGTGATCCCCTGAAAGGAAATTACCCGGGGGGTCATTCACTCATTCCCTGCTGAGCCCCAGCAAGTAATGATAATCTGCCTGTGTAAAATCAAACACATCAATTGAAGTCGATTGGTCCCTCTGATACGTTCCCTTCGAGCAGGGCGATGAAAGGGGAGACAATTCAACCGAGACGAAATTTGCTGGTATCTCTAAACAAAGCAAGTGCATTTGACTAGAATAAACACGCGTTACAAGATGTTGATGCAAAATAATGATGCTCATGAACAATCAGCTACCCAGCTGAGGTCCCTCGGCAATTGCCGTCAAACAACAAGGGACGGCACACAAGGACACATCTTACTCCGTAGGAAAGTCATCACGCTGGATTCTTGCGGAGTTTAAGTCAAGGAAGCGACAATTCTCGCCCTTGCAGAGAAGCAAATCTTCTGTTGAAACACTTTTGTGGTGCGCTGCATCACATCATCGACAACAAATCACATGAGCATGTACTTTGATTCGGGACCCTGTTCCGTGGACACTATTTAGGTAGGGATTCATGTCCACCAACCACTTTTGAGGTGGTTCCAACTCTTAGAGGTCCCGACCGCATTTTAGGAAGCAACCAAACGGATCCAAAGGCCCCTGCCTGTATCCCAGGCGCTCGGCAAAGCCCAGGGCTGTCATCTCCTGGGGCGACCCTAGGGGGCAGAAAGGGACCCCGCCGAAATGGTGGGTGTCCCTTTCCGTTTAACAACCACCCCCCCAAAAAAAGGTACCCAGAACAAAAACGCACAAACACACAGCCTGCTGAATTCTCAAGGACAACGGCGTGCGTCCTGCACGACCCTTGCCTCTACTTCAAACACGCCAGCCCGGTAGTTTGCTTCCATACTCAGCCAAGCAGCTGTTTGGTACAAAATAATTGCGATTGCAGCGCTGCATCCGCAAATGGCCGCATTTCTGTTTCTGTTGAAACACGGCAAGAAGCAAAGGATAAAGCAAATCCACAGAACTTGAACATCCAATTTGAAACAACCTGATATATTACGGAGTCAGACCGTAGGCAACTTTTACTGCACGGAAAACCTTCGAGCATGGCCCGCGCCTGCGGAATCCGTGGTGCGTCGCGGGGCAGGAAGTGCCGCAACGCCTGAGCGAAAAGCACGAGGCGGGTCACCATCTTTCGTGTTCCACCCTTAGCTGCCGCGGTGAGGCCCTGCGCTCCAAAAAGAACTTCCTTTGAGACTGTGCGTGCCCGATAAATATATATATATATATATGTATATATGTATGTATATTATATATATATATATATTATACTTTGCCACTGCAGCTAGAAGAACAGAGAAGAGTGATCCAGTCGACTCGCCAAGGTACCGAAGGCCAAGGACTGTAAACACACGTGCGACACTTAGCCGTGCGCCGCGCTCAGAAGGTTAGATGCCAGACCCGTTGAAATGTATTGTCCAAAACACGAGCTGCCATGCACCAAACAATCACCACGCTGGCAACTGTGTCTTGAGGCCGCCCCCCCCACAAGGTCGGCCGCCTCTGAGGGTGTTTGTTTAGTCCAAGCCTAGCCTAAACCTCGAATCAAGAAGCACACACCAACCTCCTTCCCAGCCATCCCTTTGTGGCAAAAAGCTTAAACATTTAGGCAGGTGACTGTGGCCATTGGCAAGGTTCGCAGAGGGGTGCTCCTGTGCGAAGTCACAGAAATTTGACCCAAACGAAATCCAAAAAAAGCCAAGTGAGTCTAACTTCCTAGTCAGCTGTCTTGTTCCCTTCTGAACTCTATGTTCCTAGGTCCAAGCACCATTTCCCCGTATTTTTTCCCAGGCGTCTTTTCCTATTTTCCCAGCCCCCGGCCAAAAAACCAAAGGCGGCGAAGGAAACTCCAGGCCTCCCTTCCACCCCAAAGCCCCGCGGGCGCGCGCGCCTGTGGATCCCGCTGATGGCTGAGGCGGTCCAAGAGCTGGGCCTGGCGACGGTGCTCCTCAC